AGTTCCTGGATAAGGGAAAATCCCAAAACTATGCCAAAAATGCTGCTTTCAACGTCCTATTACCTGTAAGCAGGAGAAGGCTAGGAAGAACTTACGTCTAAAATGGACTCACCGTATCAAACACGACGCAATACACCGTAAAGTCATGAAGATGACATGGATTTTGACGAAGCGGCCGAATCGGCAGTGGCAAAACGGAAATTCCTGCTAAACATACTAATGCGGAAGAATTTACTCCCCGACGATGATGACGAAGAGGAAGTAGAAGAAGAGGTTAAGACCTGAATTAGCCATGTGATTCTTATAAGAGTGTGTGATTCCAGGGTTTTAGTCATTATTTGTACGAGCCACACATGCAAGATGAATTGCTCCAGTCAACTGTCAGGGAATGGCCAGAGGGTTGTCTGTAAAAAGGCCTACCAGAAAAAATATTATGCCAAGAGCAGACAGCGAATCCTGGCCCAACAAAAGAGATATTGTCAGAGAACGTCGGGATTCTCAAAACCCGTCGTAAAGGATGGTATGAAAACAACAAGGAACGACTCGCCAGCAGCCAGAGAGCCTATTGTCAACAGAACAAGGAGCACATCAGAAATTACCGAAGACAATACTGTAAAAACAACATGGAACGGATCAACGAGTATTGGAGAAGTTATGATGCCAAGAATAAGGAACGGATCAGGTAAAGACTTCATGACCAAAAGCAAAGAAAACTAGGGCACAATATCGTGCGTTTTGGGGCCAGGGACCAAGAGTCTGCGAAACTGGAAACGAGTTTAGTTCCCAACACTTTGTGGAATACCGACGGTCAAGACCTAAAGAGTTAAAAATTGTAATCAACTCTCTTTCGGAGTTCATGTTATTATTTTTATTATCATTATTCAATAAACGTTATAAAGACTCAGACTCCTTGTTTTTGTTTGTTTTGTTTTGTTTTACGAGTTACACGTTACACCCAAGCTGTGTCTTCAGGATAAATGGGGGGTGAAAAAGATGACTGAAGAGTTAATCTGTTGATAATCATTTCATCCTCAGCGTCGTAGTGCAGCCACGGCAGTAACAATAACCTAAACTTTCCTTCGCGTACGCAGAGCATTACTTCCGTGGGGATGTTCTACTAAACATTCATACACCGTCTTTCTTATTGATTGAGTAATGGTCATACATGTCAAGTTGACATAGGCATGGATGTACAGGGTAGCGTTTCGCCTTTGCTGCACGAAGATGGTGAGTCTTGTATAAAATTCAAACCAGATGGAAAGATTCACATGGTACCGCAAGGTCCCCCACGAAACAATATTACGATTGTGAATATGATAAGGCCGTCCCCCTTGCCGATACCTATTGATGGCATTCGTTGCGTTGGTAATCCTCTCGCGCACCACCTCCTCCCAAGGTGAAAGTTGTTCCTTATCTTCATTCCCCCGAGGATTTAAGGTTTTGCAATGTCCGCACTTATCTGAGTATTGTAACTCCTGTTGCAAACATCTCTTGTGCAAAAATTCTCCACAGCAATAATTTTTCGCACTTCATCGAGTCAAGGAGTCAATGACAAGGTCGCCTTGATTGAAGAAACATTTGTCCTTGAACTCATCTACTTCGGGGGTCAATCCAAGTAGTCTTCGACTTCTTCTAACTTCCACTTCGTAAGTCAACAACTTTGTTTGCTCCCTTTCAAAACGTGTGAAGGTTTTACATAGCAGACTAAGAGGGAGTAGCCCCTCATCCCTATTTTACCCCTTCGGCCGAGAAGAGAGTGGGACAAGTCTAGGATTGGGTTCCCGATGAGGTCACCGTCCCACGATGCTTTGGAACGGGGAGTAC